CGGCACGTGCCCAATGTATACTAGATTGGGTGAAAATAATTTAACTCGGATAAATCACTGAAGCAGTTCAAATTGAAATCTTTCTTATAAACATTTTCTGAATAAATTCACAAACTTTGAATGGTACCATGATAGCAGTATTTCGCTTATTACCCTCATCCGATATGCTTCATTAAATCTGAAACAAATTCGATAACGCTCAGTGTTAACTCTAGAATTGACGCACTAGTTAATTTTCTAATTTTTTGAAAATAATTTTCAACTATTTAATGGTAAAGTGTACAGTCTTTGAAATAATGTTCTATATCTCTCCATAAATACAGTCTGTTCTATCATAAAAATCACGGTGATCCGCAACGTTTTTCAGGTCCATTTAGTAGCTTGATGTGCAAATACATTTGAATCTGGAAGCTGGTCATTAAAAAGACATGGAGTGCAAAAAGAAAGGTTGGTTGATTTAATTGGTCTTCTAAAGATTTGTTTCGACATACGTCAACCCTTGTAATTAAACGAATACTAGATCCTTAATCGGCTGAAAAAGGAAAACAAAAGGCTAAAGGTACGAAACACAAAAGTTAGATATAAGGAACAAAGTAAACTAAGGAAAGAGTTCTTACTCCTCTCTCTCTCTCTCTCTCTCTCTCTCTCTCTCTCTCTCTCTCTCTCTCTCTCTCTCTCTCTCTCTCTCTCTCTCTCTCTCTATCTATCTATCTATCTATCTATATATATATATATATATATATATATATATATATATATATATGTATATATATATATATATATATATATATATATATATATATATTTATATATATATATATATATGTATATATGTATATATGTATATATATATATATATATATATATATATATATATATATATATATATGTATATATATGTATATATATATATATGCATACATACACAAATAACTTTTACATATGATGTTTGAAGTTACCAAAATAACACACAACTCCCCTCACCTTCCCCCCTCATGTATATATATATATATATATATATATATATATATATATATATATATATATATATATATATATATATATATATATATATATATATATATAGGTACAGACACTAAGAAAAATCTTATCTCGTTACAATCATTATGCAAGTAAATCATCATTTCCGATCAAAGAATGTAATGATTTGATACTATTCGTATTTTCCGATAACATAAGGAACGACGGTCGGGGAACTAAAGGTTTGCTAGAGGCTGCATTCCTGTCCGAAACAATCAAGCTTCCCTAAGTCGTTAAATCGCCAAGGGGTACTTTGGCAAGCAGATGGTTTAGTGGACGGAGGCCGCATAACGGAGGTTCTATTGGTTTTTGCTTTTGTTGTATGAATTCTCTTCCATCATTCACTTGAATAAAAGTTGATGTCTGGAGATTGCTGATATCAGGTAAATCACTTACACTAAATATGTCTGCTAATTACTCTTATATAGTCTTCCTGGCTCGTATAAATAACTGACATCTGCAGCAATATAAAGTGGTGATAAAAAAAATTTGAACATTATTAATTAGCCTTAGTGTCCAATTTATGGGGATCCTATTTAAATATACTCAAATTAATTGCTTCAAGGTGAAACGGAAAAACAGCCGGCATGACCGCTATTGTAGTACACAATGCACACGTGGACTCTAAGGACAGCTAACAATTAAATAGTGGCTTTTATTTTTTACACCAGTTTCCATCTCATCTGTCAAGAGATACAACATTGGATTTGAAAGGATCTTTGGACTGCTAATAACAAAGATGAAGGGGATGAACAATATCCGCAAATAATAGAAAATACATAACAAAGTTATGACCTGGTTTGCACTAGCGTCAATGACCCCCCTCCTCTCTCTCTCTCTCTCTCTCTCTCTCTCTCTCTCTCTCTCTCTCTCTCTCTCTCTCTCTCTCTCTCTCTCTCTCTCTCTCTCTCTCTCTCAGTTGCAAAGAGAGTGTCAGAGTGTGATTTGGATTTTTGACGTAGCTTTAACAATTTTTCAGTCTTATCGCTACGATCTCTGCAGTGTGACAGTTTATAGCGATGTATAACACTGGGGCATCACGCTGCAGATATATAGCATGATGTTTCATCCAGTCACATTATCCTGACAACAGACCGGATCAATCAAATTCCCTGTCAAAGGGCCATATATATATATATATATATATATATATATATATATATATATATATATATATATATATATATAGAGAGAGAGAGAGAGAGAGAGAGAGAGAGAGAGAGAGAGAGAGAGAGAGAGAGAGAGAGAGAGAGAGAGAGAGAGAGAGAGAGAAGGGGTGTGCAACGAACTGATAGCCTTAGATGTAACAGTCACTGAAGCGCGAACATTAAACGCATTGCCATTTTTTTCATGGCTGAATTGCTTTTGCTGAGATGCCTAGAAAGGAGTTTTGAAAAGGCACTCAAACATGAAAAATAGGTCACAATGTTTTAGTTGTAGCAGACCTGAATTTCCCTGACTTATTTTTATACAAATTTGCATGTGTAGTTAAAAACAGAAACAAAAATATTGAGAATATCGCGAACAAATGAAGTTACTCAGAGGACCGAAAGGTGAAGACAGTATAACACCGCGAACTTCATTTGGGAATTATGTAAAGGAAGAAAATAAAACAGGTAAAAGGAAACGGAAACGAAATAGATTAGGCGAAATTCAGGACACAATGCATGGGAGATAACAAAATCTTTTTTGTTACTTTCCACTGAAAGAGTAGTCTCCCATAGCTTTGTGACGTTAGTCTCTTGATAACCTTTGCCTGGATTGAGACGAATAGAAATATTTAAAATCAAGCGATCATTGGATTAAGAATGTCTGTGAGGAAACAAACAAGCAAGCAAGCCAACCATTAATAGAGCAAAGATAATATCAATAGTAAGTGCATGAATTATTACAGTTGTATGACGACTACACAGTTTACGTTAAATTTTATATGAACTATATATTAACTTTTAAGAAGTTACATTTTTATTAATTTCCTCCTGATGAAAATTGTAAAAATAACGATAAATTTAATCCAGCAGCTACCTTCGGTTGTATACCATTTGGTATATTAAAATAGTCGTATATAACGTAATATCTATAAGGATCACGACGATAATGCTAATAATAATAATGATAATAATAATACATGTGCTTTTATTATTATTATTATTATTATTATTATTATTATTATTATTATTATTATTATTATTATTATTATTATACACAAATAGCTTGTCACAGCACTAATTCACAAAAGAGGGGAAAGCGACTAAGAAAATAGAAATATCAGTGATTTTACAATCTTTTTAAGATGTTTAATTACTCATCCCACATTCCCTACCACAAACTTGTGCAGAGAAAGTGCCTTTAAATAAAGGATATAATACATGTTGAATAAGTAGTTTTGACTTTACTTTGAACGAAGATTTCTGAAAAAAATGAATACATGAACATGTTTAAACTTTGTAAAGAATAATTTACTCGAAGTGTTGAGCCGAAATATGTTTTAATCATAAATATAACCATAATGTTACTTGCAAAAACAGTTTTATAAATTTGACGGTTACAGAATTGAAATGCTGGTTTTATCGTGTCCTTATTGATGAACCCTTTAACAGTTGTCACCAGTGACCTATCAATGTTGTATATTCTTCATCTTTCCACTCAGTTTTTTATTTTGTCTTTTGTCATACTTTATAGCAAATATTCTCTCATCCTTCATGATGCATGTATGTATGTATGTATGTATGTATGTATGTATGTATGTATGTATGTATGTATGTATGTATGTATGTATGTATGTATGTATGTATGTATGTATGTATGTATGTATGTATGTATGTATGTATGTATGTATGTATGTATGTATGTATGTATGTATGTATGTATGTATGTATGTATGTATGTATGTATGTATGTATGTATGTATGTATGTATGTATGTGTACATGATTCAAATACACTTCTTAAGTTGTCTAGTCACAGATGTAAATAAAACCTGCGACAGGATGAGAATGAAAACACGGCGTTTATATAGTCACTGAGAACAGAATTCATTTTCGATTGTTAGGATATAGCGATTTTTGCTATATAGAGTAGGGAACATGCCAATAAGAATTAAAATGGGCAGATCTGAAACTTTTTGTTACGAATAAGTCTTGTGTCAAATTTGTAATGGTAATATCATAAAAATGCCATTTTAGTTTTGCTTGTCCACTGTAAGGATAATTAAAAAGGAAATATTTACCACCTTTATTTGTAAAAATCTAACTTTAGAAAAATTTAGGTCTCTTAAACAAAACGATATTTAAAGAGTCCTGATGATTAGTTTAGCAATTGTTACTAATACCAGTGACCTAGTGGTGACCTACTACGAGAGCCGAAAGATTAGAGAGACCGTTTTTCATCAGATATACAGATGTTATGACATTTTCTCCTAACGTCTGTTTGCTCTATCCGAGTGTTAAAGTTCTCTTATAATCAATACCGTGTGATTTCTGAATAATATACCTTTGTATTTCACAAAAATTGAGACAATATACATTAACGAATACTTGCAGGTATACTATTTCGAATGAATCAGATGTTTTTATTTTTCTGTTGGTTATGCAAATTTGGATAATTGTATTTGGACTTAACCTTGTCCAAATCAAGTTCATTTTATACTTGACCGGAATATTGATTTTGGTTTTGTAAACAACATATTTATCTCAATCTGAGGGTAGAAACATTGTATGTGAGCGTGATTTAGATTTTTGTCGAAGCGTTCAACAATTTTTCAGTCATATCGCTACGATGTCTGCATTGTGACAGTTTATAGTGATGTCTAGCACCGGGGCATCATGCCACAGACAGGTGGCATGATGTCCCACCCAGTCACATTATCCTGACACCAAGCCAACCAGTCCTAACACTAACCTCTTAATACTGAGCGCCAAGCGAGGCAGCTTTTAGTACTATTTTTGAAAGTCTTTGGTATGACTCGGCCGATGATATAACCCGCGACCTCCCGCATCCGAGGCAGACGCTCTAACCACTAGGCCACCGGAGCGGTTGCCAGAATACTGAAAACTCCCCATGAATTGCTACATCTACAAGTTGTTGACCACATTTTATATTATAATTGTGTGTGTGTGTGTGTTTAAAATTTTTAACGTAGCTTTAACAATTTTTCAGTCATATCGCTACGATATCTGCAGTGTGGCAGTTTATAATGATGTCTAGCATTGAGGCATCATGCCGCAGACATGTAGCATGATGTCCCACCCAGTCACATTATTCTGACACCAGGTCGACCAGTCCTATCACTAATCTCTTAATGCTGAGCGTCAAGCTAGGCAGCTGTTAGTACCATTTTTGTAAGTCTCTGGTATGATTCGACCGGCGATCGAACCCACGACCTCCCGCATCCGAGGAAAACGCTCTAACCATTAGGCCACCGGACCGGTTTATATAATAATTGTAGTAACAGACCTTCTAATTGTAACTATTATTTTATCTTGTAATTATTTGAAAACGTCTAGAATTAAATTTTACATTAGGTAATGGATTTCAGTTGACGTTTTTAGAGCATTAATGGTGTAAAGATTCGGCTAAAGAATTCAGGTTGTGTTGTGATATTTTTCGAGGTGAAACTAATGGGGGTGTTTTGTATGAAAGACAAGGTTTGATAGCACACTGAACCGAGATATAACTTTTTCAATCTTGGAACAATTGTTTAAAAAAATGGTGTTTATTTTACGAGATTTTTTTATAATATGTTAGTGTGGTCTAATTATTAAAGAACTGACTTCTGTGTTACTAGATTGAAAAGAGGTAATAAAGATCAGATAGAAAAGGAGAGAACTGGTTGTGTATTCGGTACACTATTCAAAACAAAACTCCGATGTTTTCGTCGTTATGACCCACGAGCCAAGTAGATTAAATCACGAAAATCGTTTAAAAGTTTCTATTTTGCGAGCATAACTTGTCTCAGTTATGCCCCTTTAAAGCCTGATGGACCAGAAACAAGGAAGAATTATCCCGCTTTGAGAGAACATTGAATTTTGACGTCATTGTCACAGATCAAAAACATGTATTCGCTTTTGTTTATTGACTCAAGCTACCAAGTTCTTTATATAAACTAACTTCAACTTGGGGATAAATGCTTGTTGCAAAGAAATATTAAGTTTTCGTTATCGAATGACAAAGTACGTTGGCTTGTTACAAATATCCTTTATATTTGTATATTCTCTCTCTCTCTCTCTCTCTCTCTCTCTCTCTCTCTCTCTCTCTCTCTCTCTCTCTCTCTCTCTCTCTCTCTCTCTCTTTCTGCAGCTACACAGGAAACAAGTTATGTGTCGAATTTGGTAAATTGGTCATTGGAAAGTTCTAAATAATTGGTGGATGTACTTAATTAGCACAGGAAGAAATGACAGTATAACCCGGATAAAATACAACGTTTCATTTGATAATCTAAAGATTTACAGTTGATTTAGCTTCATACACTTTCTATATGGCTTATATTTTGATAACTCGTTTAGAACAACGTTGTGTTTTACGCGTATAAGTAATAATAGTTCGTCCATTAAGTCGATGGGGAACACTTCAGTCATCCATTTTTAGAGCGGGAACAAATCGTCTGTGCCTACGTATGTGTCCGATGAGATCGATATGCTCCTTGATTGTTCTTTTTTTTTTAGCATTGTGAACATGGGATGATACCAACGCTGATCGTGGGGTAATCTGCTCGGGATTTCCTGGCCTGCCTCCATTGTTCTGTCGCGGATGTTCTGATGGCCTTTCACAAAGTTCGCCCTCTCCTGTAAGAAGAGTTTCACTCAGGGCTGCAATATCGATGTCATATCCGGCTTGCTCCCTGCCAATCAGAACAGTTCACCTCTGAGGTCTGTCAGCATCACTTCTGTCCAAAAGTGTGCGCATGTCCCATGCTTCGATTATGAGAGGAACGATTTGCATTTTTTTCTCCATAGTGTTTCCACCGCTGAAATAGGGTCCTCTCCATCCGCGATTAGCTGGCTTGGGAGTGATGCAGCAGGCAATATTTAAGGCATCATTTCTGTCACTTTCCTAATGCCATGGAGGAGAGCACTGCGAATCATAAAAAGGGCTGCTCAGTCGCTCATGGTCTGCCGAACTCCATTGATGCTCCTTGTCAGTGACGAACGATCATATGGCTTTAGCTGCCTTTGTGCAGATTTTGAGGCTACGGCTGCCAATGTACCTACACCTGCTGATTCGTAGCTCGTCCGTCGCTACAGAACTTTGGGGAGAAGAATGACTAAGTGACTTGTTCGTTGACTTGGTTTTTAGTGAGGATGAGTTGCGCCATCGTCAACCTCTTTTTCTCGTCAAAGACTATCTGGATCCAGTGGCAAAATAAGATTAAGACGGCAGGAGATGGAATCGGATGCAACAGATGGCCAAGACTACCTACATGTCTCGTCCTGCTCTTTGAACTCCACAGTGCATTGCTAAAATCGCCTTTCATGCTCCCTGAACCATTTATTTATTTCATCCGCACAGTCTGCCGAATCCAGTCGAAGCGATTTACACGGGTGTGGTGACTGCTTGGCATGTTACAGCTTCTTTCAGCCAGAGATGAAAGCTGAGTGCATGTGGGGAGGCACGACTGTTGTCCCACCAGATGTGTTACCCCTCCAGTACACTCCAATACACTCCTGTACCCCATGCGCGTATAAACATCATGTACAAATATCGGGATGATGTAAGTTTAAGGATATAAGGATTAATATGAAAAAAATAATTAATTTAATTAATAAAATAATTAATGGGTCGATAAATTAATTGGACGGACCTGTATATAAAAGAACGGGGCGAAATGGAGAGAACGTACCGTGTCGGAATGTAATTTTCATGATTTATCCCAATTTTAAAATATATTTTTCAAAATTAGTTTTTGAGTGTTTGTTGTGGCCTCACTGACCTAGTAGTTTGAAGCATGGAGTTCACATGTGCATTTCATGATCATATTCAATATATTTATAATCAATATATTTTTCCTGCTATTATATTCGTAATAAAACCAGGTAAATTACCTGAACAACTTCCTGTACCAGTTCACCAAACCACAAACCAGTTTCACTCAGAATCCCAAAATGTCTTCTTTCAATTAATTTTTTTTTAAATAAATGTTATATTATTTGATTTACAACAATGGTTTTATTTTATAGAATGTTTAGTCAGCAGCAGGGATCAACATTCATCTTGAATTTTCCTTAATGTACTATCGCTTTATCTCCGAAGAGATTTCTTTTTGGTGGGGAGGTCTCAAATATGAAGAATAAATCAATTCTTTTTTAAGAATCAAAATGTTTGTCCTAAATTTTGAAAGCATAAAATTGTCTTGCATCCTTTTAATATATTTTCCTTTGACTAAAATATTGATATTGTCAAGGCAAGATAATATGAACTCTTTATTTCATGCATACACCACGAATACCACGAATACCGATGATACTGGGGTTAATGTGCCTTGCCAAAACATGCACCAAAAGACCACTCTCAGGTGAACCACGACGATTTTTGAATCTGTCTTGAGAGAGAGAGAGCACATCTCCCATAGTAAGAAAAGCTTGTAATAACATTAAGACGGCCTGATTAAGGAATGTCTTTTGGGGTGATGTGTATGGAATGGAGCAGAGAATGTTGTGGTGGCGCTCTACAGTTTCGTATTTAACATAGGGTTAGAATTTTATAGAAAAAGAATTTCCCAGGCTCTCCTCACTAGTTATACTGGCTATTTAAAAAAAACTTTGTATATCTTAAGTATTGTTCAAAGAACCTTTAATTCCCTTTATTTTTATGTATGATTGATGGGTGTAATATGAGTTAGAGAGTATACAGCTTGGTCTTACTACAGATGTGCACCTTTCAAAAAAGTGCTAGCTCTACTTGCTCATTTTCACTTCTCGAACTTCAGAGGTAAATTGTAAAAAAAAGAGCCGATAACTTTTTTTTTACATTTTATGTAGTTGGTAATTCATTCATTGCACTTTTACAAGCTGGTATTGTCTAAGTTGGCAAAATTAATTTTCCATATTTTAATAACTGCCAAGAATAGTGTACCTTAGACAAATTCAGGTTGATTTTTGGAGCAAAAGGGAGCAGTCATTTTAGTTAGCAGTGTCCTAAGAACATTTAAAATTTCCAAAAGTACAATATCCAAAGAAATTTCAGCAACATTACGTGAAAGTAGCATATAGGTATGCCTATATTTTCTCCTCTGTACATGTTTAAAATGCAAACAACTTCACCTTACATCATTCTCTCAAAAGTACATAATAAGTGGTGAGCGCCACCTGTGGAAGAAGGTAATGCGCCCACGTGAACCTTTTCCACCCGAACATGGTCTGCTTTCTTTATTATAGTCCAGTTAACAGCTATTAACGTGCAGTAGAAGAGTAGAATCGTGCTTTGATTAGAATAAATGTAGTCCTTTTGTAGATCCACTCAGGGTAAAAATATCACTTATTTGACAAAGTTTTGAAGACGTATATCTGATATATGTTGAATATAAATATGTTTAAATGTATAGTTATCCATACTTTTAAAGTAAATTTAGTCTATTTGTGATATTTCACAAGAGTTCTCAAAAATAAATTACAAAAGTAAAATTTTTGTTATAGATATTTAATTTTTTTCAGTATTCGTTCTGAACTTAAAGGCTCTGTAACAACAAGCCGTAATTGTTTGATGTATTGCTGGGTCACTGCTGGGCCATGCTATCATGCATGCATGCATACATGCATGCATACATACATACATACATACATACATACATACATACATACATACATACATACATACATACATACATACATACATACATACATACATACATACATACATACATACATACATACATACATACATTTTCAATGACTTCCAGACCTGCCATTCTCTCTCTCATATATATATATATATATATATATATATATATATATATATATATATATATATATATATATATATATATATATATATATATATATATATATATATATATATATATTATTCTCTAACCTGTAT